AACAGTTACCCACTGTCACTCACTTGTAAGGCTTCTGGAATCCTTCAGATCTTGGCCTCTCTTGTAAGCAGAGATCCACAAGTCACTTATATGCTACATATTAAAAAAAAAGTCCTGTAAGCTATTTCAAGCATTATCTTAATCATGATGACTACCAATTCTGCTGTCAGGTCAGCAAGTACAAGAAAACATGAATGACCGAGTAGCTATGGCTATTTCTATTTCTACCTGCTGCCAATGCGCATGATGCAAAATTAACTGTACACCAGCTTCTGCTCACATACATTTCCAGCAAAGTCCAGTTCTCATAATCCTTCAACACCTGCTCCTGAAATTTTAAAACTAGATTGGGCTGGTTTTGCAAAGCTAAATCCATCTTATCTTTTTACACAGCGTCAAAGAAAAGCCTGAAGTGGCAACATAAAATTTTTAAAGTGAGGCCCCTTATGGCTAACTCATTAGCAGAACAGGCAGCTCCAATTTTTTTTCAGTCTGTTCAACTAGACAGCGTGCCACAGAATTTCACGTTGTTCATACTTTGCAGCATGAAACAGTAACAGACATGTTGTAAATCTGTCTCGTCTACCTAGCCAAAATAGCAAATGAAGACATCTAATTTTCTAGAGTTTTGGATGCTTCCAATTTATCACTTTTTAAGTAGAAAAAATGTTGCTACTTAGAAAGGAAAATAATAATAATGTGGAAATATAAAATCGACTCTTGAGGAATATACAAGTCTGTTAGTATGCACTAGCAAAACATAGAAGTTCAAAAAACCCGAAAAGAAGAAAAAACTCACCCTGCTAATTCCACCCAAAACTCTACAAATAATTCTTACGTAGCTGCTTTCCATCTTAAAAAGAGTTCTGTCATTGCTTCCAAGCAAAATTAAGGCAAAAATAAAGCCTTAACCATTTTCAATAGTGAGTATCTATCACTAGGGTGACAGGGCATTTTGCTATAGCCTTCAAAATCTCAAACGCAGAACAAGATTCCCAAGCAGCAGAAACCGTCTTTATTAGACAAATTCACATACTTTGAAAAATTAAATATGCTTTCAGGAACACCAGCCCCTTCTCAAGGGGATAACAATAACAGCTGATTTCAAACCCAAATGTGATGACAGCAGCTCTACAGAGTTCTCTCAGACATGCACCAGATCACCTCTGAAAGAAAGGTAGCTGGTACCTGCGAACACATGGAGTGCCAGTTGCAAGGAAAGACGCACAAAGACAACTCTAAGCAAGAGATACAGGAAATGTTAGACTTTTATCAGACATTTATCCCCTGAGAGAATGATGCTTTTGTCCCGGAATAATTTAGATTAGAAAGGATACCTAGAGATCATCCAGCCCAACTGCCTGCTCAAAGCAGGGCTACCTTCCCACTTATGCCACCTAGATTTTTTCATTTACATACATAGCAGTAGCTTATCACGTAATAGAGACCAGAAGTCCTAAATGAATTATATAACATTCCAGGAAATGTTAGTTACTTTGTGGGAGTATTTAGTGTGACAACAGCAGAGCTATATATTTTTATTGAGACCTGATCTCCCTGAACCAGAGGAATTCTGTCTTCACTGATAAGTTTAATGTCAATGGACACAGAGTTGAAGTAGGTCTGGGAAAGTTTTGTTCTCAGCATGATATTTATTATAAATTCTACCTGTATAACAGTTTTTCTACATAGAACAACTTTGTTACATCTCTGGTTTTGTGTCTGCCTAGAAGTGTCTCTAGTCATCTTCACTGATCAGTCTAGCTAGATCAGCCCTTGAACAGTTATTTCCAAGCTTACGTAGGGAAGAAGATCCGAGACCTATCCAGATTTCATTGCCTCTTTACGAGCGGTAGTGTCCTTTCCAGTCTAGCTAACTAGACAAATCTTACAAATCTCACCTTAAAAAAAAAATATTTTATATGTGGAACTTTCCAGAGACAAGAACAAGTCTTCCAAGAGTATTGTACCTATTCAAAAATCAGTACACCTATTTCAATTAGAGGTTTCATTTAGCAGCTCCTCTAAGCAACCTAGAAAGCACACAAATGGTTTATTATAGTTTTGCTTCAGGTGATCGGTGGTGTAGCTATACATTATTAACAGCCATAGTACTAATAGCCAGAAAGTTTTCAAATTTGTAGAATTCTTGAATTCAGGCAAACGGTGAAAGCAGTTGCTATTAAGCCTTGCCCAGCCACAGCTAGTCAGGGCTTCTAAAGGTATCCTGCTTCAAATTCACTCTCCTCAGTTAACTGAAGTTCATTTTGCCTTCATAGGAAGCAAAAAGATAACCAGTTAACTTACAAGAAATGAATACATTTTGACAAAAGATACTTGAATCATTTGGGGCTGAAAACAGAACTTAGGTGGCCTGACATGACCTTAATTGCCACAAGCAAACAGAAGATGTTTCCACAAAGGAGAAGTGCTAGCTAAGCCAGCTCTATCTTTTTTGCCCTTGCTAGAGAGCACTTCATGAGCTGAGCAAATGTATCCATGCCAAGAGAGAAAGCGACTAGAACAGTTCCTACACTGTCCTTAAATCTACCATAATTAGGGTATCCCTTAGTATTTGGGCATCACTTACTAGAAAGTGTTCATCTCTCCCCTTTGAATTCAAAAAATAATTTTTATATATATATAACAAATAGGTTAAAAGACCTTTGATCATAATAATCCTCTGAATGCAGAGGTAGGTTGTCAAGTAAGAAAACACACTTTTGAAGTTAATACTGGAAAATGGTACTATTTCTTCATTCTGAGTGTTTTGCAAACATCTATAATACCTGTTGGTGGAGCTCTACACCAATCAAGCAAGTAGCACCTTAAAATGGAGAAAAAAGCCTTGAAGCACCCATCATTATTTTAGAAATCTAGACAGAAAAAAAAAAAAAAAAAAACAAAGCCAAAAAACTGCTACCATGAGTAAGTACATTACTCTCCAAAAACATTTTAGAAAGTTCTAAAAAGCATTTTTCACATAAAAGTAACAAAAAATTACTAGGCAAGGGCTTCAATAACGCTTACGAGATTTTATTTGAGCTAGGACTGCAGAATAATATATTTAAGGTTTACAAGTTTACTTCTGGCTCACACGTTAAAAACTCTCAACTATAGTGTTTACTTGGACAACTTCCCTTTGTATTAAAAATTGTTCCTAAAAATGATCATGCCAGTTAGAAGATGCAACTTTCAAAAAGTCTCAAGTATCTTTATTTTAGACTAGACTGGAGATTGTTCTTAAATCCCTACATGAATTTTAGATTTCCTATTAACTACCACATAAAGTCCATGAATTTAGCAGTCCTAGCACCCTAAACAGTTCATAGAGCACGTACAACTCTGCTGTCAACTGCTGTTTAAAACAGTTTTATCAAGAATATGCTGTTAGCATAAGAAAAACTGCTATTGCTCACAGTAAAACATAAGCACAGTATTAGCTGCTAAACATAATTTAACATAAAATGCAAGCCAAAATAAAAAAGCCCCAGCAACAGACACTGCAAGAACAGATAGGTTGTTCCCCTGCAATAATTCAGGTAGAAGTTACACATCATAGATTAGAGATCAGAGGCCACACTGAGAAATACCTATTGCTTTGGAGAATTTAGCATTGCTCATCGCCTGCTAAAATATGGACCTGTTCCCAGGTAAATAGATAAACTCATTCAGAACAGTTGTCAAGAACTAAGGCAAAGCTGTAAATACTTGTGGTCCTTTCTAATCACGGTGCTGATCCTAAGTTAGTGAGTGTAATCTTTAACAAGTCACAGGACAAATAAGTTGCAACAGCCTTTAACATTTACTGCAATTTTACACCATGACAACACTTCCTTCCTTCCCCACCCAGATAACCACTCCAACCAAGACCGCAGGAACTTCCCAAGAAGAGGAAGCTCCTGTTGCTCTTTCCCATGAGTTTTATAATATGCCCCATCACACTCCCCAGCACAGACCGTAACCTATGAGCTCACAGACTGAGTCACACCAAGAGAAGAAAGTTTGCCAGTTTAGCTTCCATGCTGCGTATCTTTGCTGCAACTAAGTGAGTTGCTATACCTCACACAAACTGTCAGAGCTAAAAATTGAATTCAGAGTTTTAGGCCCCATTCCCAAGCTCTACAGAAGATCAGTATTTATTTCTTGTAAGGGACATTACCCATCTTGCCATGGGCCCATTTATCAGGGAACTGCTATCAGTAGACCTTGAATTACATACAGAAAGCCTAAGCTGTGAAATTCTGCTCCTTCCCTCCTCTGCCTCAAGAAGCATGAAGCCTTATATACTAAGGAAGTGTAGTTGGTTTTGCTTCTTGCCTGAAGAGTTCTTCCTAAATAGCTACTACTCCAACAAAGGAACCTTTTGAGATATATACTTATATTTGCATAGTATAATAGCTGCATTTAGAGAATGGGATAAAACATGAGCCCTTTGCTACCTTTGCTGTAGCACTTGATTAGAATCTCAGTAATGAGTCAATGAGGTACAGTCCACATAACCAGACAAAAAAGGCACACACTTGGCTACGTAAGAGTGAAGTACATACCTAGCTGAACAGAAAGGAGGTCACAAACTCCATTATCTTCAAAGTTAAACCACTGCTGAGGATGTATTGCTTATGAAAAATATCATGTCTATTACTGAGTGATATTCCGGTAGGAAGGAATATAGTTTAATACCTGGTTAAAGTGGCTAATTCACATCTGTTGTGCTCAGATACTGTTTTAATGTGCAGTGTAGAAGTCAAAAGGACCAACTCAGGTTATGCATTCCTATTGCTGGTGCTTGCACACCTATTCCTTGCTTTTTTGGCATTTTTTGTTTCTTTGAGTGGAGAAGCCTAGAGCTCAATAACCACCTACAAATGACCTAGCGCACACACAAGTTGTACGAAAATAGGTTTTATTTTGAAATTGTATAGAAAAATGTTAATGCTTAAAGAGAAGTTGACAGCAAGTTGCTGTCTATATTTCAGATAGAAAATAAGGCACTTAACAACAAAAAGTTTGTTAATTTACAAGCCTGGCTAGCCTATAATAACTATTTACATTTTTCTACAAATACTAAAAAGTGACCAATTTATGCCATTAAGATAGCATGTAAAAATATTTAAAACACATCCAAATTTGCACATTCCCAAGTGTATCTACAGTCAAAAATCGGCATCTAAGGTCCTGGCCCAGATCATGTGCCCATTAAAATAATTCCCATTCTGAAGACTGACAGTTCCCTTGATATATCAAGTTACTTATTTTCTGCTACTACAATCTCACTTAGGTATTACCTAATAAGCAGCAGAAACATATCTTGCAGTCAGTCCAGTTCACCTCATTTTTCCTTTTTCCAATTAGACTATTCCATCCTGTTTCATTCAAATTAGATACTTATATTTAGAAGTCAGCCACCTGGAAAACATGTCACTTTTGCAGAAACAATGGAATACCAAAAATCATGCTCAGAGATTAGTGAGCACTACAAATTCACAAATATTTTAAATTGTTCAAGACTTAAATACTGCACTTTTTACTTAGGTAACATTGTACAAGAAGTTTGGTACAAATATTGTAACAGAGCTTATTCTATTGGCTTCTTTTGAAAGTTCCAATTTGCTCAGGATTATGTGCGTACAGCAGATACCATTTCTGAATCCTTCTGTGACAGGGCTGAACTTGTTGGTGGAGGCTTATATAAGCAGACCGCCATGACAACAAATATGATAGTGATGATTTTACAAGCAGCACCTGGAAGCAAAGAATAAGACAGTTCTTGTTGCAAGTCACCTTCAATAGTAGACAAGAATATTTGTTACTCACAAAATTTCACAGAGAAAGTTACACTGAAAGATTTTAATGGGATGTTATGAACTTCAACAACTTTTGGATGAACTGCCAAGGGCAGGTAAAAAAGTCTTCCAACTGACCCATTTGCCTGCCAGCTCTGCTTGCAGCAGCTATTTCCATTCCTTCAGTCTCTATTTCTTCACTCCACTGTAGCCTGAAGTATACATTTCCCTTACTTCTTGTCCCACTACTATTCTTTGTCTCTTCCATATTCCTTGCTACGCACACTGCAACTCCCCATGTTCAAACCTGTTAAGTATTTTCCCCTCAGCTATCTTAGAGTCCTTCCATTTATTCTTCACTGATAGAGTGGTGTTTATGCAACATTTCTGGAGGAAGAAAGACTAGAGGAGGGATTGTAGTCAGTCATTGAAATATGCCTGACAGATACTGAAACCTGAAGTTGTTTATTGCTTTTTCAGTTTGAAAGCTAGATATCAGCAGTTCAGTTTAGGCAATTGAGTACTGTGATTGCTAGAAGATAGGACAATTGCAACTACTACAGATGTAAACTTGACATCCACCACCCCACACATGTGCACACACCCTGTGCATGCACCTGAAGGTAACTGTTAAAAGCTTGGGAAATTTGACTAGTGTTTAAAGATATTTTCAAACCTTGATATTAATTCAATGAAAAACCTGAAATATGACAAAAGTGAGAAAGCTCCTCAGACCTTAAGCTGCTAGCAAGCCAAGAGACATTAGAATGAAAGGTGTGCTGGTTTCTTAAAATTCAGAAAATAGTGTGAGAAAAGGCTGAAGAGCAAAACTATTTCATATTCTTATATTATAAAACACCTTCATAGTCCATTTTTTATATCTCAGTGGGGTCCTGCTCTCTGATATTTTGCTTTTTGATACTTAGGGAAGACATCCAAGATTGAGATTTTTATTTCTTTAACACTGCTGCTAAGTAAGCATATAAAAGTTTAAGGTTCCATTCTAAAATACTCTAATTTCCATCTAGCAGTCAAGTACAGTATATCTTGTAGATGTACTTCATATGTAGAAGAGTCACTTACTTATACCCATCAGCAGATAAGCCATTCTTTCATTATCATAAACCCAACAGGCTCCTTTAGTTTTACATTCATTAATATCCCATAGAGCACAACTGTTGTCTATTGCCACACCAAACAATATTGGACCAGGAACAGTACCTAAAAAAAAAGAGTAACATGTTTAAACGTTTGAAGTAGTTTGAATAGTCTAATCTGAATGGATAAATGAAACTCCATAGGGAAGATGAGACCCACACACCATAAACATAAGCATTTTAGTCAAAGCCATAGGGCTCATATTACACAGCAACTGTGCCTCTTCCCTTGATCTCAATAGGTAGTATGCATACAGTAATTTAGTTTTTCATACAGCTCTTTTTCAAGCAAGAACTTTCTTCAGAGGTCTGAGCTTCTCATAACTTCCTAAGCTCTCACAGGAAGATAAAAGTGAGAATAAAACTATTGGAGAGGGGAGGGAGATAATCAAGGGAGTAGGAGTCTAACTGAAGAAAAAAAGTCTTTTCAGATCAAGTACACCAACCAGTTACAAACGCAAAGGCTTAATATATCTGTTTGATACTGTGTTCAGTTATACATTATTTTTCCATCATTCAGATATGAACAAGCTTTTTGGAAAAATTTCACATGGAACTAGTACTATTTAAAGTTATTCCTTTCTAGAATTCATTGAGTTTACATGATCTTTCTAACAACACTTTTATAAAGCATGGATTTCTTGCATCTAAGTATAGCCAATGTTATTACAAATACTCAAGCTACACACTGCACGTTTACCCAGCCTACTTAAGGCCTAAACTGATCTTAAGCTAACAAGCAGCTCTGTCCTCACTACAGCTCTTCTATCTAGGATCTTTGTGTCATCCCTAGAGCTTCTAGGGCAGGACATAAAGGCTGGGAGTTCATATAGTGTAAATACCTTGTTGGTAGCAAGGCTGTTAACTGCCGCCTTCTTCAGCTACAGTCACTAAGGGCTGTGCAAAAAGTGCTCCTTGACTCCGCTGTGGAGCAGAAGACAAGAGGCCTAGGCCACTTACGGCATCTGCCTTTTAACAAGTTTATTCTTTAAGTCCATGAGTGTACCACAAGCTCTTCTCAAAACATCTTAATGCATCATTTTTCAGTTCAGAAAAACGTTAGGGAAGTAGGTTATACAGAGACAGATATTTCAACAAGAAGTCATACCTAGTAGTCGTAGAAACACTGATTGTACTCCAAGTGCAAATGAGCGCTGTTTATCTGGCACACACCTGTACAAAAAGATTTGTAGTTTAAGGCCTTGGTAAACAAGTTTCTATTCCATTTCAGCTGTGCTCCTCAATGAATATGCTTTTAATTTGTTGATTGCAGAGGATTTTAGAAACCCAGTGTCCAGAACAGATAAAGAACTTCCAGAAGTGGCATTTGTCAAAATATTAAGAAACTCTTATAGCAGATAGAGTAATTACACAGATTGAACTAGTTTTACTAGAAAAAGATAAAAAAACACTAGCTGATCAGTATACATACACTGTCTAGCATTTTTCTACAGAACAATCAAGGACTTACGAACAGAGCTAGAGTGTAATCCTGAACTGCTCTGCCTAAAGCAGCCATACATAAACCAGGACTAGGCTTCAGCACAGCACTGGCTGTTTTCCCCTTAGTTTTTTCATACAGTCACCTGACCTTATAACCAGTTCTAGATGTGCTATGCAAGTCAATATGCTGATGTAACAGTACGTAACAATATGATACAGCATTAAGAATTACCTCATATCCATTTCCTTCAGAAATTTCTCTAGCTACAAGAATTTTACCCTGACAATGTCTTAAATATTGCCAAAAAGATTAAATGCAACTTCATTCATACAATTTAGTTTCAGCACTGTTTTCCTTACTGATACTATATCATATATAGATACAGAAGCACTCAGTGCCAAAAAGGCAGTATTTAAATATTCAGGAGCAGTTCCCTCATTCTGGAATATATATGAGGATTAACCATAGAAAAACATCTGAGGTAAGCAGTTAGCAGCAGCCACTGTTAGGATTTCCATCCATGATGGCAAATAGAGGAAAGCAAAAGCGTGGTCTCCCACTGTGGGAGTATTTCTAGTAACAGGAGAGTGTCATGAACACATGGAGCGTACTTGAAGTTGCACAAAACAAAGGCCTACTGAAGACATCAGAATACATTACAGTAACTTTCCTCACATTTAGCTATTTAAATTAGCTTTTGAATATTTAAGCTGTGCTATAATCTTTTCTACAGAAACTGTTTCACCATTTCAGTTGGAGTGTATGAGGTTTCCCAAGTTCTAGGTGTTATTACTTAGACTTCACTACAACTGTCAGCTCAAAGTTTGAAGCATACAGCAACACTTCACACTACTCTGCCTCCAGACTAGCACAACAGCCTGTTAAATCCAGATTTACACCAACCCTAAACAGGAAGCTACTACAAAGCACGGCTACAGCATCTCTCTCCAACCTGCCAGCTTAAAATGCTGAAGAAACAGGATCAAAAAAACCCACTCTTAAAACATAGTGGGCAGTACTTGTAAGTCTATACATCATAACTATCTTATTGTTCCATTGTGTAGGTATTTGAGATGCAAATCAGATTTTAATGCAAAGTGAGAACAGCCCTACTTTCAAATGAAGACCAATTAATACCAAAATATTATCCAGCTTTTGTGCTTATGAGTTCTGTGCAGTATGAGTTGTACATAGTGGTTTAGACTGTCAAACCACTCCTTAAAGGCATATACATGTCATCACATTTTATACTAACAGCTACCATAGAATTCCATTATTAAAGCACTAATATCATACGAGAGGCAGTCTAGAGTTTGACAGTTTATAACTTCTGAAGTCAGGACTCTGATTTTGAGACAGGAATCAAAGGATAAGAAGATAATTTGAGGATAAGACGTCTTCCTCAAACTAGGTAAACTATTTTGCTTTTTTTTCCTCCTTCTTTGTGCAATTTAAAATCCCAGCACTCTACCATGAACAGGTTAGTTAAACATTTTCTTCATCCAAGCACATGCACAAGGCACATTTGATTTGCTCTTAGTCATAAGAGCAAAAACATCAATTCAAAGAGCATCTACTAAACAAACATAACTACAGATATAATAGCAAACAGTGCTATGACTATCCTCTCCTTCAAGCACTGCCAGTTTATTACACAAAATACTACAACAGAAAATTCCCTGCACATTGGTTTAAGTCCATACTCAAGAGATTTAAGAGTATTTTACTGATCTGAGTTTTCATAAAAATTCATGTTATCTACTTTTCAGCCTAAAATACATACCTGAGAATGGCCACAGTTGTTGGTGTAACAGCCATAAATGTGAAAACAACAGTCAAGAAGAAAAAGAGCAGAAATAAAGGTAACAGTTTGCATTGTACTGGACATTTCCCAGGGATAGCTTCATAGAGAAAGTCTTCTGAGTTATTTTCTGTCTCTGGTTTCCCAATACAGGAACAGTTGTGGAAAGTCTACAATTTATAAAGCAAACAAAATTACCTCTTCATATATGATATTGTGACAAACTAATGCAACAGATGTTCAGGGTGCCTGCATCCCACTGGGCACAAGAACAAACACTAACATCACAATATAGGAAACAGACCACTTCCTGATGATCACACAACACTGCATTTTTTTAAATAACTGCTTTAGCAGAACTAGGCTAATTGAGCTTATCTGAGCAGTAATTATGTTTGATCTAAAAAGACAGTGTACATATCCCATTTTGTGGACAGCAAGTTTGATACAAGCATGAAAAATTAAGATTTTAGAGTTGAGGCGTTGCCATATGCAACACATTACACACAAATGCTAGCAGAGTAAACCATGAAAAGCTAGCTTTCCTACTCAAAGCCTACCAGGGAACAGTGCAGGTAATTGGTGCCAGACACTGTTTACAATTAAGAAAGTGCAAACTAGAGTACTCCAAGTGGTATTTTTAACCAAATCGCCTCTTGCATTAAAAACAATCACAGGGGAGGAGGAGTGTCCCTCATGTCTTTCCCCATGTGAGATTGACTTCATCTGCAATGTTTAACTTCTAAACAAGGAAGAGCCAAAGCTGCAGTTCCCTTAGGGCAGGATGCATCTAGCAAGGTTCTCAAAGAGATTCTCAGTACTGAAATAGCGTTAACTGTTACATAGTTTCTTTACCAAAACTGCCGATTTTTGTACAATTCAAAAATTATGCTCCAAAGAGCTTTTGCTAACTGGCTTAACTACAAGAGATTGTTACATGAACAGAATTCATTCTTCAGATTCAGTTACTTGTACCACTATTTCTCATACCTTATCCTTCAAGTTTAGATAAGGCATGTCCAGTTACAACAGTAGCAGAGCAAACTGCAAAAGTTCACATTCTTCAGAGAGTTGTTAGCAAGTCCCAAATCACATGAGGTTGCAGTCCCAGATACAAATAATTTTTACACTGGGCCATACTTGAAAGGAAGAGAGATAGGAGCTCTGCTATCAAGACTCTACAAGGACTATACAAACAGTGGGAAGGAACAGATAAAGTGTTCATTGGCTATTCCCTGTACAACTCTT